GCTAAGGGGTTGAGCAACGCCGAAAGTCTTTGTAAAGACCCAAGAATTACCAACGATAGAAGAATGGCAGATGAAGAGTCCGCGACCAGAAGGAGGAGGAGTATGAGGAAGAGTGGATTAAATTCAGTGATTACTTAGTTAAATATGTTAAGTTAAATTAACTGAAAACAACTTGCAGATACTTAATTGGCTTAGGATTTTATTTATGTTTAGTGCTGAATTAATATGTTTAATTTCATAATGTGAAGATCTAAGGATGTTAATGTTTAAGTTAAATTTTATAAGAACGGTGATTTGGAAAACCGTTAAAAGGATATGCAATGAAATTCAACCGAGGGGAAGCAAGGAAGTCACTTAACAATGTTAATAAGTGTACTTTTCAATAAGGCTATGATTTATGTTTGTTTGTCTTATGTGTTTGTTTGTACTGTTGTGAAAACCAATTAAAAAAATTGGGAAAAAAGAAAGAAAGTCTTTGTAAAGAATATTAAAGATTCCTGCACACTTTGTTGTTCTCCTTGGTCTCTCCCACCTCCTTGCAGGGCAGGGAAACTGCTGCAACAGGAAAATAGAGATCTGCATTGCTTTCCACTGGATCCTGCCTCCACCCATTCTTCTCTGACTGATCATGGACTTAGGGACTCATCAAGTCCCTTTGGGGAGTTAGGTAGCAAAAGCCAACCCCCATTTTTTCTACAACGAAAATAAATAAAAATACTTAACTGACCAGTTGCATAGGAGATAGCGTGGTTCTGCACCCAGCATAAATCCTGGCTACTCCCATGCCCCCAGCTACAATTAAAGCCAAGGGGGAATGTTTGAGTGCACACATGGCACTATTACATGTGCTGCATGATTCCCGTTTCCCACATTTGTATGTTTAGTGTGGCAGCGGCTGCACTCTGGAACTCCCTGCCTGCTGACATTATGCAGGTGCCAAAGTCGGGGTCATTTTAATCTGTATGAGTATTTTTAACTTTTGTATGTCTTAAAGTAGGGTTGTGGGTTTTATATTATTTATTTTTACTGTATTCCTGCATTGCAGAGGGTTGGACTAGATGACTTTCGTGGTATCTTCCAACTCAACAATTCTATGGTTCTATGTTGTATCTTTTTAGTAAACGGCTTTGAGGTTTCCTTACAATCAAGTGGTGTTCAAATTTTATGAAATAAATAAAAAACAACAATAATAAACATTCCACCTGCTTCTAAAAAGGCCACAGATAATTATTCAAGGCCAAAGGCCTGGTTACAATGGAAGTATTCAATTGTAAATTAGGGGTTAATAAATTCTGGTTGCTTCATGCTTATTTATTTTATTTACTTACACTTAATACATAAATTTAATATACCAGCCTTGTGTTATGCTCTGGAGGGCAGGACACAACCAATAGCTTGGAACGGTCTCCCTCAAGAGGCTGTGGGCTTTCTTCCTT